TGTTCAAAAGTAGCAGTAGTTGTAGCTGACTACATATTTTTGAAGTAGCTGTAGTTATAGCGAACTACAAAAATTTTGTAGTCAACCCACCCTTGAGTATACTTTAGTAAAAGTAGAATTGTTTAATTAACCTTTAACCGACGTCTGCATGCAGACATGCCTATGAATTGCGACATCTCAACTTTTCTAAAAAGCCGTTTCTCAAAAGCCGTTTGAAAGGCTCATCTATATTACTATAAGGAGAGTAAGAGAAATCTTGTAGTTATACTGACCTTGAAATTACCGTTTCGCCTCTTAATTAAAATGAATCGTGCGCGATATTAAGTTTTGTCCCGGTGATGACGGAGCTGCACCTTGCGTGCTTGCCGAATCTCATTTTAGCGAACGTTTTGCTTGTTTTTGAAGTTTATATTTGCCAAGCATGAATTATTCATACTGTGTAATAATATAACACTTCCATGCCGTGTCGTTAATGCACTTTTCAAGTTGTAAGCCCATTTATAACAGACTTTATTAATTATACAATCACTTTAAAATACACTTTTATATTTCATAAACATATTTATTTGCCAAGGAAGGAATTAAAAGCGAAATAAAATGCTTTTAAAAACATATAGCTAGAGTTTTAGTTCTGTATCATTCGCGGTTATGAATTCTAGAAAGCTTGCGTTGTTTCTAGCTATAGTGTCAGTGAACCAAAATATCGGTGTTAAATGTTAATTTTGAAATATATTAAACCGTCATTAATAATATTATTGGTAGTATTTTTTAATAAATGCGCTATATTGAACAAAAGAGTTGTATCTAAATCATCGAAGTTAGTTTATTGCACAAATATTGGTGTGGGAAGCGAGCAGACATTCTGTCATTCTGTTTTATTTGCTCTCTTGTTACAAAAACATTGTTCGACACTGAGAGTTTACAAAAATACAATTCTCAATGCAATTTGCAAACTGTTTAATTAAACTCCGATCTATTACATGCACGAAAGATATTATACATAACAACAAGAACATAAAAAATGTATTACTTATAATTATACGAATAATATCATGACGTATAGCAGCATGTACACACGTAAAATTCTCACAACTTGTTTTCGCAACAACTGCAACAGGCTTCTAGCAAGCTTGTCAACATGTTGTGACAATGCTGTTATTTTATTAAATTGCTACAAGCTTGTCACTCACAACTTGTTGACAAGTTGTTGAATTGCAGGACGATAACAGGTTGTTGGATCAACTTGTAACAAGTCTGTTGAGTTCAATAATCTTGTAGCAAGTTGTCAACAAGCCGTTGCATGACAATTTGTCAACAAGCTGGGAACAAGCAGTGCGAACACATCCTGTTGACAAGTTGTTGGAACAACATTGCTAGAAGTCTGCTGCAGGTTTGTTACAACTTGTGCGTTTTTACGTGTGTAAGAGAGTGAAACTAATGGTTGCCACGTGCCACAGCCATGCCGTGCAAAGGCGCTCTACACACGTAAAAACGCACAAGTTGCTAGAAGTCTGCTGCAGGTTTGTAGCAATGCTGTTCCAACAACTTGTCAACAGGATGTGTTCGCACTGCTTTTTCCCAGCTTGTTGACAAGTTGTCAACGGCTTCTTGACAAGTTGCTACAAGGTTGTTGAGCTCAACAGACTTGTTACAAGTTGTTCCAACAACTTGTTATCGTCCTGCAATTCAACAACTTGTCAACAAGTTGTGAGTGACAACCTTGTAGCAACTTGATAAAATAACAGCATTGTTACAACTTGTTGACAAGCTTGCTACAAGCATGTTGAGAACACATCTTGTTGACAAGTTGTGAGATTTTTACGTGTACAGCAGTCTAGCTGTTATATGTAAGAAGTACGTGTAAATTAAGCGCGTATATAAGAAGGATATGGAAATTTCTATCAGTACATATTATATCTATGATTATATCAGTACATATTCTATGTATGATTATACGTCTATCGGTTACAAATGATGACTATGTGTGTTCAATTGAGATTCTTGTAGTTTCATCGACTACACATCAACAGGTCAATTCTGCTGAGAGTACTGAATTTCCTGTATACGTAGATATTACTTAAGCCCGGTTGAGAGTGCATGAGAGTTGACAGTCACTCGTATAATGCTTTCCCAACACTATCATGTGCTCTATAGTATTTAGGTAAAACATAGTTGGAACACTCACCAAACCTCTTTTTGTTAATTAATCTGGAGCCTGAAATGTCCCCCACGACAATGTGTGACTGCCAATGATCTCATCCTCGTTTCATCGGGGTTTTAAGATCAGAGATCTAGAATGGATAAGACCGGAACTAATGAGGTATTGATAAGGAGATTTGTGGGGTTATAGCGGCAGATGTACTGGATTATGAAATGATCAGTACTGAACAAGATACGCCTTTTCTGGGTTCGCGACGCTATCTTGCCAAGCGGGCCAAATACGTACATTGACATTGTTAAAGTTAATTTTGCTTCGTCCCAATGGGAACACCTGTCCCTGGGGTATCTTGTTGCTTTAGGGACCGGTCATTAATAATGGGAGGAGGGGGTGAGAAAAGGGGGGCGGCTTCAACTATTTTTGCCTGAATTGGGGGCGGTCTCAAGCTGAAAAAAAATGTGACAAGGGGCAACCCCAATTTTTTAATACTTTCCTACTCATTTTCAATCTCTCGCTTTTATCGTATCCTACAAAATACCTGTTCACCTTTTCTAGTTCCTATGATCGTAGTTTCCATAGTTTATCACGTATATGCAGTTCACCATAGGAGTCGGAGTAAATAACAACCAATTTGAATACTGGTTTTCTAATTATTTAGGCTACACAATGTCTTACAGTGGAGTCCTAAATTTCCTAGATGAAGGTGGGGGCTTCTTGAAAATAAAGATCGGGGGAGGCTCTAAAAAATGTTCAATATTTGGTATTTATCACCCACCGCCCCCCCCCCCTCCCATTATTAATGACAGGTCCCTTATTGGTGAGGATCATCCATATTATAAAAATTGAAATCCAAAATGTTTGCATACGTTGACGAATAACAATGGATGTTGATTGACTTTTCCCTTCATCAGAACTGCAAATACCCAAAAATTTCGAAAAATTCTTCTTCATACAGAGATACTACAAGTTGTTTTATTTGAAACTTGGTAGTTGCAATAATTCACCTTTTTGTGAATTCTATACATTAATTTAAAAATCTTGCGAAACAGCTGCAGGTGTTCAAAAAGCGGAAGTGCGCGTATATATATGCATCTATATAGGTTATGTATGGCCACATAAAATAAATTCCTTGATTCTCATCACCGCCCGACTGCAGTATTTTAAGACCGCGTGAATTTTAAGAGCCGCGTGATTTTGTTATACAATATAAATGAACCGCCCGACAAAATATTTCAAGACAGTTAAGTTTTTTATATTTTACTGATATTGGGTTTTTAGTGCCATTTTAAACTGCCAATTTCAAACAAATAGAACCTTGAAAGAAATTTCATTGCATTTTAACGGAACTTCGCATTCAGTTCAAGGGTTCAGTCATTGTTCGTGGAGAAATATGTTCATTTTGGTTTGTGACACTTCACTTTGGAAATCTTAAATATTAAATGTTAGGAATTATTTTTTTACTGAATTTATTGATATATAAATTATATAAATATAAACTATAAAATATAAACCTCCCGGCTCTTCGACATTTTCAAAGTGTAGTGATGAGAATCAAGGATTTTATTCTATGTGGCCTATAGGAGATTCGAAAACTGAAAATAAGATATTCTTCATTGTATAGAAAGTGTGTCAGAAGGCAGTAATCCAACCTTGACATTGCGCGCTCAATATCGAGTGCATGCAACGCATATTTAGTTTTCCATCAATGATTAGAGTTCTATCTTTCGAATGACGTCTTTTTCAGTATCATTTGAAGCAAAAGTGAAAATTACCGGTCAAAATATATCACATGCATGTGCCTTATTAAAACGTGTGCATAACAGATGAAAAACCGACAATTATTCACTACTTGTCTTACCAACACTGATGAGCTTAAAACAGAAGTGTCCTCATTTTCCAACAATTATTTAATTTCCTCCCACGTTAGGGCTTAGTTTTAAATTAAACTATTAATGAATTTTAGATCCAACTGCAGCAGGGATTTATTTCCAATAATTTTGCACCAAATGGGACGTCTATCGGCAATTTTTATTCGATTCGTATATTTGGTCATTTTCCTTGATAATGATAGGGGGAAAGGCATCATTGGACAGCCAAAACCCTGAATTTAATTGCTGTGTGAAAATTTTATTGATAAACCCAATATCTAACGCACGCCCGAACATGCTAAATTTGGATTGCCTTTTTTATAAGTCCGGATGAAACGGGGGTGAGCCGGAGTGCATGAGAGTTGGTAGTCACACTATCTTGGTTAGCTGTTCTTACTGTTTAATGCTTTCCTAACACTATCATGTATGTCAGTGAAACATAGTTGTGTTAATTTAGAGTTTAAAATGTCCCCGCGTATCATTGTGTGTTTTTGTACAAATATCAGAACGACGACAATTTATATGGAGCATTTTATATTTAATCTTAACGATCTAACATTTTTTATTTACATCATACTCATGGTGATTACATTTGTGTCTTATTTGTATATGTTATATAGTTATCTGCCGACACTGCAGTAAGCCAGCGCGGAGTGTTCACCCGGTCCGTCCTGCAGTTATACTGCAGCACAAATTTAATTAAAATCGATATGTAGGCCTATATTTATAATTAATCGTACAATATAATTTAATATATGAAATCAATAAAGGACTATACAGGGATCTACTGGAAACTGAGATTAACAACATGCACTAGTTAACGGTATTATTACATTATATTTGTATATTTCTGAAGTTCTGAACTATTTCCATATGAGATTTTTCTTGTATTTAAACCGACACTACTTCCAGATGAAGTTTTTCTCAAATTTGAACTTCCAGATTGACTCTATGTAGGCCGAGACACCTTGCACTTTTCCATCACACTTTTATTTGTCACGAACGCGAGGAAGATAAAGAATCCTAAGAAACAAGAAAGAAATTAAAACCATGTATATGCATGGTCAAGTTACTATATACTGAATAAGGCTGCGGTTCAGCCTGGGTGCCCGGCACGACGTTTGACACAGCCGTGCCCCAGAAAGGGCACTATTTCTAGAGGTCAACAACGGCACTGTGCTCAGAATGTTGTGGGAACCAGTTTGAACATTGGGAATGCAGCTTTAGGAAAAATTGTTGCTTCCTAGCTGGTCCCCACAAAAAATAAATCAGTTCAGAAACATATTTCCATTTCGGCTGCATGCAAGCATGACTTTGATTGTGGAGATAATATTATGCATGCTTACCTTTTAAAAAGTGGGTTAGGAAAATAGTGTTTCCAAAACAATTCTATTTTGATCAAAGCGTAATGCTATATATAATGACGCACGAGGTAATTTTATATACTCATTCATGCATTAATAATTATTGAAATATATAAGGTTTGAGTGTTACCTTGCAAACTGTTAACGATCAAGAAAATAAATTTGACGATCACAGAATACTCCATAGCAAACCCCAGTGTCCATGTCAATCCCATCACGACACTCAGTTTCCCGTACATCTTCACGTCCTTTGTGACTGTTGTTTGTTGGTTCTTTGTTGAATTATACTTGCTGGTTTTCTTGAAGAGAAAAATGGAGAAGCAGTGGCGTGCTGGCAGGGGGGGCCGGGGGGCCACGGCCCTCCCCAGCTGGCAATTCTTGGGGGGGCGCAAAAATGAAAATGGGGCGCCGAATTTTGAAAGTGGGTGGGAAAAAACACATTCTCGAAACAATATGGTTACTTCCGCCAAGAAAAGACGTGTTTATAGGCTACGGTATAAAACAGACTAAGCGCATAGGCGACATATATTAAATTACAGACTATTTTGCCTAACCGTATTTGCTACCTCACAGCTCACACGAAATCGTTCATATAAAAACATGATCAGTGATCACAGGCAATGTCTCATTACCGGAATATTGGTCAGGTTTCGATCGAAGCGATCACGGGAATTATACCCTTTTTTGCTGGTATTATGCCCTTATAATATGCCCTTTATTATGCTTCACGAATCACGAGGGCGGCGCAAATTAGATAGTTGAAGTTATGATAACTGATGTAAAGTTGTGTACGCAATTTAGTTGTTTGCACAAGAAGCATGAGTAATGTAAGTAATGAAATAATGCTGAAACATGCCCTTTGGGCAGCCAGGCAAAGAAACCTTAAAATGCATATGCGTGGGGTGCGCGTGTTATTGTATAAAAGAGCTTTAAGTTGTAAATGTGCTCAGAACATTAGATCTGTAGAGAACATAATTGGGATTAAATTAATCGCTGGAAGTAGTTAGCATTGCATAATTTAAGTACTACAATTAAACCTTAACCAAATTGCAAATTTCGACACGTTATAATGCCGTTTCCTGACCATCAGATTTCTGTCAAATCTTCCCTCAAAGTCCAGGAAATGGCATTTCAGAGACTCTAAATTCAAAAATGTTCCTGGGGGGCATGCCCCCGGACCCCCCTAGACTCGCACCTGCGGCACTAGGCTCGTGCCTTCGTTTATCAAGTGTAACATTATAGGGGCGCATATTGGTTGACAGCCCACTGGCCCCTCCAGAAAAATAGTACCCAGCACGCCACTGTGGAGAAGGTTATGAAGTGACGGTCAGATTTCTCATCCCGTTCCTAATGTATTTTTTACTGTAATTTTCCACTCCAATTTCTTCTTTCGATTAAGAATCTTCAATATCACACTAATATTCTGATTAATTAAATGTGGCTATTACACTAGAGCGATTCCGCTGTTCTTTGATTTATCAGCTCTCGAGTTTTAGTAACAAAACGATTCAGTTTTGGGCAGATAATACCCACACCTACTATATTTATAATAAAGTAAATAATGTAACGATTTATAATGGGTGAATAAATTCTTCTTCTTCTTCTTCCATGCTTTTACGGTGAACTCTCTTATTTGAAATATCAATTCTAAAGATTACGTTCTCTATGTACTTACGTTGCGCACATTCGTAATGCCAAGAATCGTCCAAATAAAGGCAATGATGTTCAAACCAAGCGCAATTCCAACTGGCATTTTGAAAAACAAAATGTTGGACAAGTTGTCCACGATCCAACACGAGTTTGATTCACCTGGAAATATGCGCGGTATTTTAGTACTATACTAAAGCTCTCTAGCCTGTCTGAAGCCAGAATTTAAAGGTCTCTTTTTCGCTGGAAATTTTTGTCAAATGTTTTGAACTTGGGAAGACTATTGGAATTTTCTTTCAAAATCCTTACTGTGGTTTCTGGTTGGAAATAGTATGGAAATCCAATTCCCGCACTAATTTCAATTTCCATACAATGGATATAATATGGGAATAGTATGGCAATACCATAAATGCTGGTGCAAATAAATAGAGTCTACTCTATTAGATTCTACCTCTAAAGGGACTGGAGTACGATCACAGAAAAAATGCAAACAGTTAGCAGACAGAGTTTTGGCTTATCATAGCTCAAGGATAGTTTCATACATAGTCTGTAAAGATATGATGGTCTGGCAAAACTTCACAAACTCACAAAAGTCACAAATCAATTGTTGCACAAATCAATGCACAAATCAATTGTTCCTATTGGGTGATTGCTTTATTATACGAGTTCAATGACCGTGACCGCGCACAAATGAACTATGTTCCACGAAATGAAATTTGGTTTGCATGACTTACCATCCCTCCAATATACCAACATAACTCCACTTCTGTCAAGCGCAATCGCTGTCAAGACAATTATGAATGGGTTGATGAACACGTAAAGGCAATAATGTAGAAATGAGGAGCTGGTCTTTGTCATTCGCTGCGAGTCTAGAAATTAATCATGATAATTTATATAATTATATATCATAATTTATGTAATTATGATGATAATTTTTATGATTATATTTTGTTTTTACTTTTAATATAATTATATGACAACTGATACAATTATAAATGATAATATATACAACTATATTGGATAATCTGTATACGTATTGCATATATGATATAATTTATGAAATCACGCTAAATTAGGTGCATGGATTTCTATGTTTCACTTACTGTTTCTACCAAACGTTTTCCAAACGTCAAAACTCATGATGCTCATCCAAGCAAAAGACGATAAAATGGCGAAGTGAAGAATTATAGCGGTAATGCTGCATGCAACCGCATTCTCTGTAAACTGTGGGCTCACCAGCAGCACGATCTGATACATTAGTATCGAGATGGACAATCCCATGATTATTTTCCCTGGTGTTGTACGAAGTTCCGGCACCAATGAATATAGAGCTAGCAAGAACAACAGTGTCGCGATAGAAATGGATACGCCAATCAGATTAAAGTACATTTCAAACTCCGTTGTCTCAAAGGAGTTTGAGCTGTGGTTCACGGTCCCAGCGGTACGATTGGTGGCATACTTTATATTAGCTTCTTTATAACGGTTTGGTTTGTTTTGGGGGATTTCGAAAAATATCGAAATTGTGGGATAATTATAGGTAATATCTGGCGGATTTTCTAATTCCGTAGGTCCAATCCCGTAACACAATGCGCAGTGAAAATTCTTATAAAAACTCCCATTATGGTAAACGACCAGCATATATGCGTGACATTTTAGCTTGAGTTCGGCGTATTTTAAAGCGGTCATGTTGATTGAGGGTGTTGGCAGGCAGGTTTTTACTGGTGAACATACTGTATGATTTTTTGTGATATTCAAAGATGGTGCGTAGTACCAGCTACAGTCATTCTGAAGAAATTCCTTGTCCTGGACATGACAATTTTGACTTTGATGCACCAGACACCTGTCTACGGTCGCCCGAATCTTCTCAGTTTCGTTGTAGGCTTCTACCTCGTTACAAATTAGTTCGTAGCCCCAACGTTTTAGGTTCTCAGGCTTAATTCCGTTTCCTAAAGCACAAAACCTGTTCTTGTATGTATGTCCGTCTGGCCCTTCGACAGGCATCGTTTCCACGTCGATATCAGAATGTGGATTTGAGCAATTTTCTTGGAGTTCCCGAGAACAGTTCAAACAACTTGAGATCATCATATGTCCTCTGATCCCTGGCACGTTGACACGCTCGTTGTACCATCGAATATAGTTTAGGTGTTGATGATGTAGGTCACTTATGCATTGCCATTTTTCTCGGTCTAACTGACTGATGGTTGTATTGGGTTTACAGCTATATAATTATAGAGAGAGATGTGACTGTCTAGTCCTCACTTGGATATATGTGGATGTAGACTATACCATTACATAATTCTTGATAATCCCTCGTACATCTTACGCACGTCCTTACGTACACTGATTGGCCCCTGTTTAATTTTCAGACAACCAAGAAACAAAAAACAACCCAACGGTTAAACATTCAAACAACCAGACGACCAAATAACCAAACAATCAAACAATCAAACATCCAAACAACCAAACAACCATCGTGAATGTCAAATGAAAAAATAGTGAAGGGGGAAAATGAATATCAAATAAAAGTTGAATGAAAATTTGGATATCAATGAAAAGTTGAATGAATCCCGATATGAAAGGATGGATGGCAAATGAAAGTCCCGGTATATCAAACCATGAATATCAAATGAGAATTGGATTGAAAACTTGAATGTCAAGCCGTATCCTTGCAACTAATTAAACTACTTTTTCTCTAAACGTCCTTCATTACAATAGTCAATACTGGACGCAATTCTTACATTTTGAAATAATCATAACAGCAATCTTGTGTTAGCTGACAATTTTCATCACAATGACAGTAAAACGTGTGCGATCTTTCCTCGCCACATGTGTTTAAACAACTTATTGTTGCCGGTTGAAATCTCACTTTTTCTTTCCTCTTAAGGTTAGCAAACGAGACATTGACATGCTCAAAAACAATTATAAAACCATGACCAGCCGACAATTTAAAAAAATAAAGTAAAAACCAAATTCCGAAAAGACAAGACATCTTGAGAATTCAAAGTCATCTTCAGACAGAATGAAATACAATAATATATAGGCCTATATATATATATATATATATATATATATATATATATATATATATATATATATATATATATATATATATATATATATATATATATAT